TGTAGGAAGCCTGGCAGTCGGAGCATTTGATCTTGTAAACTGCTCCCTGTCTGTTGTTAGGTTCGTCCCTGTCTTTCACGTTGGTCAGTAAGTGTCGAAACGTAGTTGTAGGTTTATGGGCTACACGAATTTTGTAGGGCTGTAGGATCCGTCAGATGGTGTCAGAAGTGTAAGGTATAGTCACTGTAGTAACAGGTGTTGGTTTCCTGTTCGTTGCGTCTGCTTCAGTAGGGCGGTAAATGTTTCCTCTAATAAAGTCAGCGTTGTAGTTGTTTTTTTGAAAAAAAAAACGTTCAAGGTATCTGTTTTCGTTACGTAATCTGTCGGGTTTGTCGCAAACTAGTTGCGCTCGTCTCGTCAAAGTCTTTACAGTCGTGGCTTTGTGTGAAGTCGGGTTGTAGGATGATTCGTCAAGTAATTGGTCGGTATGCGTCGGTTTTCGGCTGTACACTGTCGTTTGCAGTTCGTTGTTGTCGCAGCTTACTAAGCGTCAGTCATCAACAACAGTTCTCTTCAGAATGACCCTCACCCGGATGATCTACGAACTAAAGGTATGTTGATTATTACATGTTGATATCAAATAGACGACACTGGGTTTAACAACCATTTTGACGCGAACGGAGTGTGAGAGGAACATATGTTTTTAGCAAATTGGCCCCGTCGTTTGATGGATACTAATTTAGGGTGACAGTCCAGTAATCGACAATAGTCACGTGCACGGCGACAGTGATGGCAACGAGCGAATATGGCCAAGCATAACGTTTAATGAGTAGTAGAGCAATGTGTGGACCCCCGGGGTATTCCCTTATATGGGTTTGGGTGTGGTGAAAGAGTGCTGTAGGGGAGGGGTATGTGGGGGTGGGGTTTTTCGGCCGTTTTGTTCATAAATAGGGTATGGCCGGGTTTTAGCACTCTAGTCTTGAATTGGATATGTTTCTTAGAAGAAGCTACTTTTTCATCATTACCAATGCGACCGTCAACAAAAGCCCTTCATAACTAATGTTTAGGGCCATTGCCAGCAGCAATGGTCATAAATGGGGTATCGAATTGTTAGTCAGGTCATAAATACAGTAACAAAAATCACCGATTTTGGTAATAAATAGGCTAAGGGTTTTGGGAAGTGGACCGCACAACGCAACCAAATCACTGTACCCCACCCACCCTTCCCCGGGGTGTGCACGTACTGAGCGTATTTCTCTGCGAATCCCAAAACGCAACTATTTATAGCATGTCTCGAGTCTGTTTATTTCAGAAATTTGTGCAGGGTATGTTCTACCTTTTATGTGTCTTTAGTTGTAATTGACTGTTTTCTTCAAAAATTCAGGCATGCAACGGGGTATTTTTTGAAGCCTTTAGACAAACTAAGTTTCGTTTGGAAAATATGAAATTCATTTTTGACAGTATGCCTAAGGATTGAGTTAAACATTGCTACAAAATGTGAATATGTATTAGGTTTCAGTGTAGGATGAAGGGAAAAAAGTTAACAAATGGAAAAAACCTTAAAATACAAATCAACTGAGCACAAGACCACTGAAAACAATGTTTATTTTCACTTCGCAATTGAAATAAACGAAAAAACTACAACATAATCATTGATTTTAGTAATGAAACTCTTTTGCCTATAAGGAGGGAATCTTCTCTTTTAGTGGTTAAATTTTCGTTTCTTGGTACAAGTAGAGAAAAAAAATTAAAACATTTTACAAGCATTCCGAGTATTATTAAACCCGTGTATGTACTGATGTACAGTTGGGGCCAGGACTGACACACCTTTGAAGTTTTATATCGTCTACTTTGCAGGAAAAACTGCCCTGACAAGCGAGACATTCTTTAACACTGTTTTCAAAAAAAAGACATAATTATTTGCACCGAGCATGACTGGGATGGCCCGAGAAAGCCCAAGGATTAGCATCTTGAATAACTGCCGACCTTTTCAATGCACGGTGGAGTCAAAATAGAGCATTTCCAGGTCATTACTAACATTCTGTGCCAACAGTCTACATATAAATGTAAATGAAAATATACATATTTATTTTGTTTCCTCCGGCCTGATTGAGGATGATTTAGAATATAAACAAAGACACGAGTTGTTGTTTTTGTTTTTGTTTTTGTTTTTGTTTTTTTCAGGTATCGCTAAGATCACCGTCATCACAGCATCAGCCTGGGTTTTGGTCACGATTTTACTTCACTTTGTCATTCCCGAAAGCCTCCTGCCGCAACACACCCTGTTGACAATTGGTGTGATATTTATCCTACTTCCGGCTATCAATCACATGAGAATGTTCCTCGCTATTCGTCGCCATAACAGTCAAATGGTGGGCCAAGTCAACGAGCAGCAGCTGTCTACGGTATTTGGGCGGGAAAAGAAGGTAGCAGTGGACATGACCATTGTTGTGGTAATTCTCTTCGCTTGCCTTGGACCGATGATAGTAATAAAGCTGGCCTTCCAATCATTCCTCCCTGAAGTCTACGACCTTCTTTATCCGTGGGCATTTACGATGACTTATATCAATTCGTCAATAAATCCTTTTCTGTACTTGAAACGCAATGGAGAACTCAGAATAGCAGTGCGATCGGTTGTGTGTTCATGCTTTTGAAAGGAACTATTAGGAGCCGAGTGATTGTTACCTCATGGCCAACACATGGCAGGCTCACAATGCATGTTCGGACTCTTATACTTAGTCTTACTTCTAAAAGTCTGTAGATGAAATCCTCGTGTGTGAGTGACAATTCCAATAAAAGCTACTGCAGACTAGTGATTTCATGTGGTAATGTTCATTATGTTAATTGTTGCTGTTCAAGATGGCTCTAACTTTTAAGTCTGAGGATGAAACCCTAGTGTGTGACCATTTAAATGTCCTACGCCACTATGGAATTCCAGAGAAGTTTATTGCCATCACACAGCAGTCGTATTACAATGCCCAAATTAGAGTAATACAAATTCGTGAACTTACACCACCTTTCTCTGTGAAGACTGGAGTTCGACAAGGCTGCATCCTATCACCCATGCTTTTTCTTTTGGTTATTGATTGGACAATGACGGCAACAACAGAAGGCTCCAGGACGGGAATACAATGGTTCCTTCTTTCCCAACTCCATGATCTAGACTTCGCCGATAACATCGCGCTACTTTTCCACAATCATAAGCATGCGCAGGACAAAGTGGAATCACTGGCAAAAACCGCGGGTATGACAGATCTTACTATCAAAAAAAAAAAGCAATACCAAGACAATGCGTATAAACAGCACAAACGAACACCCAATCAAACTAGACAGTGAGGATATAGAGAACGTCACCTCCTTTACCTACCGAGGGAGCGTGATAGCTGTTGATGGAGGAACAGAACGAGATGTGTTGGTAAGGATTGGGAAAGCTAGAACAGCATTCCTTCTGTTGAGACTGGTGTGGAGATCTAAAGAGATATCCCTGAGGACCAAACTTAGGATCTTCAATACAAATGTAAAATCGGTCTTGATGTACGGAGCCGAAACTTGGAGAGTAACGAAGAAAATCTCAGGAAAAATCCAAGCCTTCACAAATCGCTGCCTACGTAACATCCTTGGGGTAAGATGACCGAACACCATCAGGAACGAAGACCTTCTAGCAAATACCCAGGAAGAGAAGATGAAGACCCAAATCAGAAGAAAGAAGTGGAATTGGATAGGCCACACGCTAAGAAAACCACATAACAACGTAACTAAACAGGCACTCTTTTGGAATCCTCAAGGTAAACGAAACCGTGGTAGGCCGAAAAACAATTGGAGAAGATCAGCCGAACAAGAACTGCGGCAAATAGGCATGCGATGGACCCAAATTGAACGAGAGAGCAGTGGAAGAAAACTGTGGATGACCTATGCTCCACCTAGGAGCCAAGGGTTTGTATAAACTCACAAACATTACTTTCTACAACGACATTACCTACTTACAAAACGTTGCGTAAAATTACTGATTTACCTTACATTACCACACTTACAATACATTATATTACCTCACTTACAATACATTGTTACATTACTCACAACACGCTATATTGCTTAGTTGCACGAATCACTTGCACTAGGTTACAGAACGGCGCAAAACGTGGGATGACTTGGGTGCACGACTGTTTACTGAAACTAATTTCGCCCCGAGTTGTTTGCTTATGCCACTAAGCAAACGGAAGTCAGAGAGTCTAGCTGTTACACATTTAACAAACGTTCAGGGCTATTTTTGTTTGTTGTGAAGCTAAAT